CGCCCGCGTCTCACATAGCCACGCCCCTGACAGGGCTCGCCCATCTCCCAAAGCCCCGCCCGTCTCGCAATAGCATCGCCCCGACAGGGCCCCGCCCACCCCCCCCCTTCCCGACCCCGCCCACCCAGCCCCGCCCGGCCCCTGCGCGCACGACATTGCGGCTCTGCGTTTGGCCGCAGCGTGCGGCCCAGGTCCCTCATGGTCTCCTCCATCTCCTGCGTGTTCTGGATCAGCGACAGGTTCTGCTCCTCCAGGTCGGTGAAGACGTCCAGCAGCTCCTGCGGCTCCGTGAAGTACAGCTCCAGGCCCTGCAAGCCAAGGGCGCTGGGCGGCGGGGGCCGGGCGGGCGAGGCCGGGCCGAGGCCGGCGAGCCACGACCTCCCCGGTCGCCTGTCCGTGTCCTCCTGCGCGGGGATGGCCGGGCTCGACTCGTGGGGAGACGAGCGGCTCAGCCTCGGCGGGCCGGACGCGGCCAGGCTCGGGCCTGTCGCCCCGGCGCTCTGGGAGGCCCAGGAGGGAGGCTCGCTCGAGGTCAGGAGTTGGAGGCCGGCCTCTGAGCAAGAGCGAGACCCCGTCTCTACTCAAAATAGAAAGAAATGAGCCGGACAACTAAAAATATATAGAAAAGAAACGAGCCGGGCGTGGAGGCGCATGCCTGTAGTCCCAGCTACACGGGAGGGAGGCCGAGGAGGGAGGCTCGCTCGAGGTTAGGAGTTCAAAACCAGTCTGAGCAAGAGTGAGACCCCGTCTCTACTAAAAAATTAGACAGAAATAAGCTGGACAATTAAAAATATATAGAAAAAATGAGCCGGGCGTGGTGGCGCGTGCCTGTAGTCCCAGCTACTCTGGGAGGGAGGCTGAGGCGGGAGGCTCACTCGAGGTCAGGAGTTGGAGGCCAGCCTGAGCAAGAGCGAGACCCCGTCTCCACTAAAAAAATAGAAAAAAATTAATTCAGCCAAGTAATATTAAAAAAAAAAAAAATGGGCCGGGCGTGGTGGCGCACGCCTGTCGTCCCAGCTCCCCGGGAGAGGGAGGCCGAGGCGGGAGGCTCTCCGGAGGCTGGGAATGGGAGGCCGCCGCGAGCCACCCGGGC